TGTTTCACCGTGAGTTTTATAATTTCTAATAATGTTTAAAAAGTTTTGTGCAAATATGAATTGTCATTTTCATTTTTATTTCTAGTACTAACAAAATATATTTGTAATAAAAACCATATGTGTACGTTCTTTTATATATCTTTATATTTACCTTCAGAAAATCTCCCTTTAACGCTTGGTAAATAGCTTCACATGTCTCTGGGATTATGCCTGACAGTGTGCATTGTGGTATACGGCTGCTATATTGTAGACTTCTATACGTATAACTCTCCCCTGTTGCTAGAAAACGAAATGTCACCATAAGACGTTCCTCTACGCTAATACAATTTCTCAAGTGTGTGTTTTGTTTGGAAATTAATGGAGATATCTTCGACGCTATAAATTTGAAGCTATCTTCATCCATTCTTAAATAGTTGATGTAACTTTTTAAATCTTCAAATTGTAGTTCTCGAAGCAAGGTATGATGAATTCCTTGTTGTTCACGTCGAGCAATCCAGGGCCTCACCCAAAGGCGTCGTTTCTTTTTGTTCTTTTTTAACAATAAACACACCGTCATAATTGCACTTATTGCAGCAGCACAAGCAACAAACCGATTCTCATCCATCGTACCTAATGATAAACTAAAAATATTGTAAAAGCTTTTATGTAGTAAGTATAATACGGTTATCAAAATTTGTAAACAAAATGTCTTCAAATAAATCCTACTAAAATATTTTATACAATACCTTTGTCAAAGATCTTTTATAGTCTAATACCGACCTTACGAATAGATAACCATTCCATATTTATGAACAAGGAGGTAAGGTGGTCATACTTTTTCAAGTTACAGATCGGCAACTTTATTTTTGGATTATTACAAGCGCTTCACGGATACTGAATCGAAAATGTAGCAGTATGTGCTGTTTGGAATAATTATGACTCACAGAGAATTTTCTATAATTTCCGAAGTACTAAAGAACGACTTTTTGTAACATTGTTCACATGAGGAATAAAATTCAGACATGCAGACTTGCTCAACGGATATGCCCAGATTTTTTACAGTTCCACATACTTTTATAATTTCACCATTTAATGGTGTAGTCGAATATTTCTTAGTTTGATTTTTAGTTTTTTTAGGAAATAATATGATTACTTTTAACTTTTCTGGATTCAATCTAAGGTTATGAATTTTTGCATACGTGTCGATAGATCTCAAACCATCAGTAATTTGAGCCTCAGTAATTATTATACTCAATATTAAAATTATTGTATAACTGCGAATCATCATCATCAAGATGGGAGATATGTAAAATAATAAGAAGTGGTGCAAAAAACGACCCTCTAGGCACTCCGGATGCTATTAAAGCCTCAGCAGAAGTGATCATATCGATGACTCTTTGAGATCTATTTCTTAAAAAGCTATTGATTAGAGCAACTGATGATTCAGAGAAACCATAAAATTTCCAAACCTCTACAAAAGTAATGGTTGATGTAGTCAAACGCTTTAGTAAAATCTGAAAGAATTAAAGAAGTTGTTTGTTGGTTGTCCCAAGCCCTGACAATATTGCCAGTTAGATCTAACAATGGTGCAGCAGTATTATATCCCTTCCTAAAACCGCATTGTCTTGATGGTAGTCTACCACATTTCAAAACATATTCATTTATTAGTGTGTACATTGCCTTTTCCAATAATTTGAAAAGTATAGGTAAACTGCTGATTGGCGTCAGATCTAATTTCTGCTTTTGATAAAATTTTATGATTCCTCTGATCCATCACGTCTAAATTGAGGAAGCGCTTTGTTTTCGTTTCGTTTCGTAAATGCCGATCTCTGCTTTTACGCGAACCACGGCGCACAAGCCGCCTGGCGGCGTCTGTGAGGACCGTGACGGTGGGTCGCCTTCTAGATCGAGGCGAAGTGATTTCCAACATTCTAGATGTCGCTTTGTGCTACACCCGGTTTTTTCTCGAAGCTGTAATGCGGACTATTTATAACTTGGCGGCCGGGAGAATTTATGGAACCTGACGCAATTTGTACATTGGAAGATTTCGTTATGTTGATATCCTGTTACGCTCTGAAAGCGAATAAGAATTTTGCCATCATTGCCATAAAAAATTTGTATGAAAATTTTACCTGAAACATCTGCATATACAATATACATGCTCTACAAGGTAATATACTTGACATGGTTAATTTTGATGTCTTCTTGGGTTAAGCGGTGATTTTGTCCAATGATATCAGCCTCTAGGTTGGTTTCAGTAATTCTTTCATGACTGCGGTAACCAACTATTTTCATTTTTTTTACCATGGAAACACTCTTCAACGTTTATTTCAAATCCTCTAAAATTTCAGAATTGTACTTTTACATTAATTTTGGACAAATGCAGTTTTTTGTTGAGGTCAATCCTGGTTCGAAAAGAGGACTGCTCATGATATAGACTGAGTATAACACTGTTTATCGATCTTTCTTTGGTTTTCAAAGAAGCATCATTAACGACTGACCTAGCATACGAAATACGTTTTGTTGTATTAATTTATTCAATCTCTTCAATTCTGGAGTTCATTAATTATACTTCTCTTGAAATCCACTCTTCTCATTTGTGAGTTGATGAATTACTATGTACTTCTCGGTAAGTAGCTTTTCGTAACGAGACAGTTTATCAGCTTATTGATTAACCTCATGTTTCAGTTGTTAATTTATTTTTCCAGATATTCACAATCTTTTGACGTTTTCTCCTTAGAATTGACCGTACTTTTTACATCTTCAATATCAGCTGTGGTTTCACTATCTTCATCAGTCTTGTTTTTCTTCATTTTGTACACCCGGTATGATAGTTATTATTCTATCATTTACGTAAATGGCAAAAATCTTAGAGCGATTTCAAAATTTCCGTTAATAAAAAATGGCTGCAAATGATTTATGTTTTTCGTACCGTCTTTCCTTAAAGAATGCGTTTGCAGCTCGAAGTCCGAAGCGATCTGAACAGCGGAAAATTATCTACTCGTGAAACTAGATCAAATTGTATTTGTCTTAGAATTGAGCTTTTCATTCGGTTCCAGCAGCTGATCTTATGTATTGGTCTTCAAACGTTTACCATGTAGAGAGGCTCAAATTGGAGCTAGAGCACTAGGACAACGTGGTCAATGATACAGCTGTTCTGCAAAGTTTCATTATCGGCAGCTATTATGTAAAAAACCAAAAAGACGTACTACAGCATGAGCTAAGTTACCGCTTACGGTAAGTTAACATTTTGTAGAAAAACCTACGAAATGTCAAAAAACGACGAAATGTCACTTTTTAAGGTACGTTATACCCGTGCCGTAATGATTTTTTTAATTATGCCAAGTAACTAAATTATTTGGGTTTTTGGAATTATAGTTATTTTAAACATCAATCAATTTTTTGTCACCCAAGATTTGTCAGAGCACAGTTATGTTATAATATACATCATTGAGTGAGATGCAATTTGTTCTTTAAAATTCCAAATATTATCCAAATAAACTTTTACATCTAAATAAAGTAATTCTTAGAGCTGGTAAGCTCATTTTATTAGTTTATTAATTTTAAATAAATTGGTGTACTCAATCCAAGTAAACGTTTTAATAACTTTGATTAAACGATTGCGTTTTCGCTTAATTAAACTAGTTTCATAGATTCCAGCAAACTTTTTTAGAATTAAACCAATTAAACTTCTAGCTGTCACATAGTTAATTATTTTTTTATTTGGCCTAAATAAATTATTAATTGGTTTCATTAATTTATTTTCACTCATTGAGTTAGAGTAAGTTCCCGGTTCACAATATGCTTTCCATGCGTGTTGTATTTTTCTGCTGCGTACAAGCAGAGATGTGCATGCCATGAATCTGTCATGGATGCTCCTCTCACTTAACTCATCTGACATACATCTCGGATATTTCCGCACTAATCCTAATGCCAAAATATGATCTAAATTGGTTTGTTCAACTGAATCGAGCCTTCCTGATGTTTTCAAACGTTGTGGCTTAACATATCCTTTACAGAGCAGCGTCCGATCAAAGAAGATCACTCACAGCCTGATGTATCAGCTATAGGCAGTTCGAGATCACCCGTTTGAAATTTTTAGAAACACCTATTTTCTGTTAGAAACTACATCTTCACTGAACACATTTATTAAATTTCTACACGCTTTTGTTATATATGTATACCTTTCTTGCTGGAATTAGAGAAAGATACAGTGACCTGAATGGACCTCATCCGATAGGGTACATACACTATAGCATGGTTCTGAGCTCCAACACACGAATCCTTTCCGTTAGTGTTGATTTGCAAGACCAGCATATACAGGGTGATTTACAAGTCGTGACCAGAGATGAAACATCATACACAGGACCGCATTTTAATGGGGGTCTTCTATGTAAGATTTTTTCCTCGAGGCCTTCATTAAAGGGTATTGAAGTTTAAAAATAAAAGAACATTTTTTTTAATATCTTTAAAATCGAAAATTGGAATGAACTAAAATTTTGTATGTGGATTTACCTAACTATTGTACACATTCAAAAGTATTTACTTAAAATTAACGTGCACAAGTGGCGGAGATACAGGGGATTAGTGGCATTATTTTGCCAAATAAAAATAGTACAGCACTGTTTTTTTCGAAACGAATTTCACCTTCAATTTGCTACAAATAAATAATTACCCTTGTGTTTTTTCCTAGAGTGCATTGTTTTCGTGAAGATAAAAGAACAAATTATATAATCAAAGATTTATTTCAATAAATGTTCAAAAATACCACCATTCTGACTGACTTTATATTTAAACTTCAACAACCCGTTTTTTTTTAATGAAGCCCTTGAGAAAAAAATGTTTTTTAGAAAACCCACCTTAAAATGCGGTCCTATGTATGATGTTTCATACGACTTGTCACGACTTGTAAATTACCCTGTATTATACATTCAACGGTAGAAAGACTGAGATCTATGTCCGTCAAATAAATATGAGCGTACCTGGCAAGCTGTGGATATTAGAACAGAATTTTTCGGTAGGAGGTGCTAAAGCAGAACAAGAGCCGGCACCGCCGCAAGAAGTAGCCTTGAGGGTCCGAAAGTCGACAACCAATCCCGCCGTAGCAAGAGCGTATTACGTACTTATCTTCTTACGCGCCATCGTTGGCGGGAAGTCTTGGACAAGGATGGAAGACCCTGCCAGAGGCGCACGGTATTGGCCTAGGGTAGGTAGTGACTGTAATTACATAAAGGAACAATTTAGTAATCGGTTGGGCATAGCAACTAGGAATGTGGCTATGGTATCTGGGGTCAATGAAAATGGGTTGTTAGCAAAAGCAGAGGGTAATTTTGAAATAAAATCACTGAGTAATTATGGGCGCCCATTAGACGGCGCAAGGGGGAGGATATGCCCGCCCTGATTTCTACTTGAGAAGTAAAATATACCTAATGGGGAATCGTTTCTCGAGCAAGGTATGGTTTTTTTATTTCAAAACATAGGCGAAAATTACCTTGCTAGATTTGAGATGCTTTCCAGTGGCCCTCTGTTGAGTTACTCAGAGAATGCCTTCACTTCAAAAGCTGTTCTGCGGAAGTGTAAAGTGAATAAGAGGGCAACTAAGGCCCGTATCGTCAGTCGTCCCTACAATTGTAGGGCGCGTTTATGGCCTCCTTGATTGTCATACTCCTTTCTCTCCTTCAAAAATGTCTAGATTACACTTGTCCCGTGTCAGCGTCAGCGCTCTCCTATTGTGAAGATATGTTTTCTTTTTAAATTGTAGGAAATTTCAGGCTGATAAAACATGATATAACTCAAAAGCAAGCACAATTTGATGCAAATAGATGTTTGTGATATAACCTCAAAATAGAGCGCTGACACGGCGAAGTAGAAAACTATGACAATCAAGGAGGCCATAAAGGCGTCCTACAATTGTAGGGACGACTGACGATACGGACCTTAGTCTATATCCTACCAGCAAGAAAGGTTGGTTGCAATCTTTCTGCTTTCTGTGATCCATGATTTTCAGCACCAGTTAACCTCGTTGTGGGAAGTATGGAAAATCCCGGCGGGAAAGTAGGATTGCATGAACCGGAGTCCGTGAAGCCAGTGGTGAAACACATTTTATGTACCTATACCATCACACAAGACACGAAATGGATAGGTTGCTGTTTTTTAATTTCAGTACCTTAAAGACATTACCAATCACTGCTTTCAAGGTCATAGTTGGAAAATGCTTTCATAAATTATAAAAACGATTAAATGAAAATTGATTGTATCAGACTTCAAAATTGTACTTGATCATCCAAATGGTAGTTACTTTACTTGCTTTTCGCAGTGCTGATGGTTTGTCCCGTTGGAGAAGCTGACCTGCTTAGTTATATTTTCCAACTCATATAAAATTGTTCCAGATTGAAAAAATAAATAGGCATTTGGTGGTAGAGCCAGGGCGATGGTGCTTGGCGTAAATATTGATTCATCTAAAAAACTGTGTCTTAATCCAATTCAACAGCGTCACTTCTACGACACTGCCTCCGTCGCGCCGGTAGTCTAGCAAACTGGTTTTCTAAAATTAGCAGAATCCGTCCTGGTCCTGCATGTGGGGTGAATTAGGATGTCTGATGTCTGTGATAATCTTGCATGATTTTATACATTTTTATATGAACGACATGCTGTTGACCGAGTGCAAAAATATTTCCATAGACATTTGGAAAGTATTATTGTACAGAGGGTGTTTTGAGTTATTTATTTTAACAGCTCGTCAAAAGAAGTTGATATACCAAAAATCACCTATATAAAAGTTGCATAATAAGAGAGTTAGTTTGCATTATTGAAAATTATTTAAAAAATCCTGATCAAGTTGAATGGGTACCGACAAAAACCGGCGAATCCACGACTTTACAAGCTTCGAAAATAAAATCCTGGTGTCCACGAATTAAATCACAGGCATTTTCAGTGCGCTGTTGAAGTTCTTCCAGAGTAGGGTATTTACCATCATGATACACCATCTCTTTCAAATCGCCCCACAGAAAAAAATCGCAAGGCGTTAAATCCGGGGAGCGAGCAGGCCAAGAAATAGGTCCATTACGCCCTATTAATCTATTCGGAAACTCATTATTTAGATGTTCATGAACTTCTCGTCTAAAGTGTGGTGGAGCACCATCATGTAGGAACCACATATTCTGTCTCACAGTTAGAGGAACATCTAATAATTGTGGCAGATTTGTCGAAGAAAATCTAAATAAATTTTACCGGTCAGTCGAGGTGGAAAAAAGTAGGATCCAATAAGCATGCCATTTACCACGACAGCCCAAGCATTTAATAAAAATCTATGTTGAAAATGAGTTCTTCTTATATCATGCAGATTTTCTACTGCACAAACATGATTATTGTGCACTCCATTTCGTACAAATAGGGCCTCGCCTGAGCACAAAATTAATTTCGTAAAATCTTCATTTCTGCCGAACTGTTCTAGAAGCCTCTGGTAAAATGCAACTTTTTTAGGATGATCTACAGGTTGTAATGGTTGTACCTGTTGATAATGATAAGGATAATACTGTTTTTGTATTGTCTTCCACACTTTACTATGAAAAACTTCAACTTGAGCTGCTATGGCTCTAGTAGGTACTCATTGCAGGGTCGGCTTCGACCATTTCTAAAATGTCTTCCTCAATTTGAAACATTTCAGGTTGACCAGGGCCGGCTGATTTCTTAAAGGAAACCTTTCCGCATACAACCTGCATGGCGCGGCTGCATTTTGTTCGCACTCTCCGTAGTTGGTATTATGTTTCCGTAAAGATGGGCCATTTATTCGCGCAAAATAATGAGACAGATGAAAGTATACCCACTATAAAAAGACTGATATAACTGGTCGAACCAAAGACTCGCACTGAAAGCCACACAATAAGATAAACCATAAGAGTAGTAAACAAAAAACGGATGGATCCCCTAAAACAGTTTTTTTTTTCTTTTTGCTCGAAAGATGTTGTTTTGCCTAATCGAATAAAGCAAAGAAAACGAGGGCTAAGTGATTAATTGTTGCTGCTGCGCATATCTTAAAATTCAAAAGCATTATGTAAATGTAAACAAGAGGTTAATAATAAATATTTCTGCAGAATAAGCTCAAGTATTTTCCATCCGAGCTGTGCTGCAAGCTGCAAGGATCAAAGACTTTTGACGAAGGCATACAGTTGTTAATTGAGAAATTTGAAGCTGGTGTAAAGGATCTGCGGATCACATTAGAAAATACCGACGCCTAGCTCGAATCGGAAGAATTGGCTTTCTCTGATTACAGAAAATAGTCACTTTACAAAATGAAAATATGGAAAAAGATAGGCTGATTGACAGACAAAGACGGACAACTCAAAATTTTGAGGAAGAAGTAATAGAATTCGAAAGAACATTTATCGATGTGATCAATCGTCATAAAATGACAGCAGTTCAAAAATCAGCTGAAGTTGCACAGACTACTATAAAGACGCTGGTAAGTATTTGCTAAAGAAATTGAAGAACTTTATAAGGAACTATATAGTTAATCAAAAGGAACTGACTTGGTACACACAGAAAAATGGTAGAAACAAATAAGAATACTTGAGGTTGAAAACGTGAGTTTACAACAAACATTCGAGAAGTCTTCACAAAACATAAAAGGTAGTGAAAGTGCGACTATAAAGGCAGTGATGATGAGCAGGGTGACAAAAGTCTAGGAAATATCTTGGCCGAAATAGAAACAACAGTGTCAACAAGTGATAAAAATCGATAGCAGATCAACCTAGCGCATGAACGTAATATAGAAATCGTAAACCATAAAGATACACAATGTTCGAGGAAAATATTAATTATCGAGGATGAATTATCCAGAAACATGTCTGCTTTTAAATACTTGTGTAGCCCGTCATTATGTCAGCATTGAAGCCATTGTGAAGCCTGGCATCGAATTTTGTGATCTAGTCAAGCCACTGTTCCAGCTGGCAATGCGACTAGGTAAGGATGACCATATCTTATTGACGTATGGTCAGTCGTTCCTACAATTGTAGGATGCCTTTATAGTCTCCTTGATTTTCGTAGTATTTTCTCTCCTTCAGAAAATGTGAGGTATTTCTAAATTTTTACTGTTCCGCGACAGCGTGATCGCTCTCCTAATCATGTTCCGGTCTCGTCTCCTAAATACTACTTGTAGTACCGTCGTTACCGTCGTATCTCACCAAACCAAACCCACGAGTTCAAAACGCGCACGCAGCGAAAGAAAACGGCTCACCGCACCCCCTACCTTCCTGCTCTCTCGCCACCTATAAACTATCATTCCTTGTTCTCGTGCCAAACAGTTAACATTCAATCGGGTTCACGCACCGATTTTTACGTTTTCAGCAGTGTCGAGGAATCGCTGAACATTTTTATACATATGGACCGAAGGTTGGCCGATAGATGGCCGACGGACGGTCGCCATCAAGATTCCTTTCGTCGCGGAGCAGTATTAGAAAATGGCGTGCAGGCCTCTGTTTCTGAAGGGGCGTCACCAACAGTTAATTGTCTAACCGATCTGTTTTAGGTGTAAGTTAGGTGAATGTAAGTATGGATGGAAGATAAGGTTCTGACACTGTTGCTTGGGATAGCAACCTGGACCTAGCTAGCGATAGCCAACTTCATACCAAGGACGAACAAAGACGTTTGGGATAACGTTGTAACATTGGACTCGGTTGCTTGAGATAGTCACATGGACCTAGCTTGTGATAGTCAGCTCAACACAAGGACGAATTAAGATGTTTGGGATGACGACTCGACACTGAACTCCGTTGCTTGTGATGGTAACTTGTACTTAGCTTGTGATGACTAAGGTCCTACGACAAATATCAACACTAAAAGCGTTTGGGACAACGTAGCAACAAAGTATGGCCAACAATCTTTCTCATTTGTTTGTGATAGCAAATTTCACCTGGTTTGTGATAACTATGAAACGGGACTGTAAGTTTGAACATGGCAGGTTACGAAATCGATCAGGTATATTTTTTCGTTAATACCAGTTAGAGATTAGAGGTATCTAATGCGAGGTTAGCGTTACATTTGTGTTAGCACATTCCATCTAGTTTGTGATAACATTGAAACCGCCGAAGTACCATTTTTCATTAATAACACATAGAAATTAGGTACATCTATGGTAGACTAGCGTTACATTGCTAGCTTGTGATAGCAAATGCCACCTGGTTGGTGATATCTATATGGAACAGGACTGTACGCATGAACATGACCGATTAGGTAGCATTATCCCCGATTAGCGTTACATTTTGCATAGGTGGCACTTGAACAACAGGGCGCACTGGATTGTGATGTCTTAAAGGCCATGCCATTCTGTTTCAATAGATGACGCATCACCACGATGATGCGGCGACCGTAGTATAATCAATGTCAGCGCATTGTTCCAAAGCTGACATTTCGAGGGAAGGTCTTGTTGATGATGATAGTTGAATAAATTCTATTCTACTCTAGCCACTTGAGGTGAACCCGAAAGTCGCACGCAGGGATGGGCGCTTGGTCTCTGCACAGCAACATGCGAGCTGTTCATTAACTCCAAGTGGGAATACTCTCTCCTCTAGGTTCAAATAAGGGGAAGGGAAGAAGCAAAGAACTCAGGAGTACTCTAACAGAGGCTTCTATTGATAACTTGCTCTTCGGTGTAGGTTTGAAGAAGTAAGTCAATTCTAAATAGAAATCAGATAAATATGAGCAGCAACTGAAGGCAAAAGACCAGATAATGTACTGACAACATCAGTCATCATCGATTATTGCAGATGAGGTACGTAGATCAGCAGCGAGATTGGCGCGTAATCATCATCTCTGTCATAACTTTAGGAGCGGCGCTAGTTAGATTCGAGTGGTCACTTGCCATTCACATGGCGACTGGTTCAGCACTGCCATAGCTGAAACTCATAAGTCCATCTATGAATTACCTACCATCAACAGTCTTTCAATTGCTTTGCTGCGGTGCTATCAGTAACAAAGTTGAGCTAACTAAAAATCAGCGCCCATCCGAGATTTTTTCCTGCCCCTGAAGTCTAATGGGTCATCACGTTATATTCCTTACCTCAAGTCACTTAGTCTGATTATTATAGGGATAGAACACATAAGTTAGAAGGCTATTGAACTGGAATCAGACTTCTCCGTAGAGATAATTTATTAACGAATCTGGATTTGGAATATGCAGAGATTTTAGTACCCAATAGAGAGACTCAGAATATATTTCAGATTCATATTCAAGCGAC